AATTCAGAAAACATAAAAGGCGTAATACTTTTTCAGGAAACTATATTGCTCAGTCCACACTGATCGACATAATCTCTGTGTTCTGGTATAAAATGGAAATAAGGAGAAATGGTCTGTTTGCTCTACAATAGAAGATCTGCACTTAGTGTGAGAACAAGTAGGTTGGGTTCACATATTGAGCTAAACCATAAAATGGTTTGTTTGATTTGACTTAGTGTGTTATAGGAATCCAAAGTGAGTTGTCATTGTAGTCTATTCAATTATTCAACCATAATTAGGCAAACCTTACTTTAGAGTGATGCATGAACCACAATGAAATTATTTTACACAAATTTAGAAATAGGGTGGGAGGTTTCAGCTAAAAAGGCTGACAAATCTTAACTTGGAGTGTGAAGTTCTGATGGCTGATAGGAAGTAAGATAAGCATTCATTCTGTTTCAGCAAGTTAACAATCTGCTAGAAATCTTCACAAATCATTTTCACTTTGCCTCTTCAAGTAGCAAAATAGAGAGAGACAAGGCTTTCTGCTTCAGTTTATCTGGTAGAATTATGATAAATGGGTTTCTTCAAGAAACATATCACAGTTTGTTTCCTTAAGTATCTTTCCGACGGTTTCTTAGTTTGTGCTTTTATTTTAAGCTACTATTTCAGCTTTCCCTAACTTGATACTCTCCAATATGTTGAATTCCAGCAGCATCTCTAATCAGGAATGGCATTCTGGCTACTGAGTGATGAGAATTATAGTCCATTCACATCTGGACATTGCCAGGCTGGGGAAGGCTGTACTCATGCCATCAATTCTCCTTATTTTTACATAAATATAACTTGAACGATAATAACATTGTGGTATTATAAGAGACTAGACATATGGGCTGCAGGGAAACAAAGATGGTAACAAATTATTGTGTTACTGAGGCTTAAAAGCCACTTGAAAGGGATGGTGGTAAGACTTGTTTGCAAGCCAAGTTCTTCTGTAAAAGGTGCTATTCTCTATCCCAAAATCTCAGCCTGGCTCACACTAGGTAAGATTCTTCCCCTTGAAAGCTCATAAACTTAGTTTAGATGATTTTAAAAATCCCATATAAAAAAGAATGACATTATAAATGTTACTTTTTTTTTTTTTTTTGCTGTTTTGTTTTTTCACCAGTGCACTAACAATGACAATCAGTTCAAAGACAATGACAACCAGTTCAAGTCACTTAGAAGACAATTTTTTGCATACCATTATTTGCTAAATGCCTATTTGTTGGGAGGCTGGGGCGGAGTGGGGTGGCGGCTAGCTGGCTGGCCAGCTATCCAGGCAACAGATATCAGATGTGGGAGAGAGAGATCTATAGAGATTTGCCCAGAAGAAAGATAAATCTTTCCCCCAGTGCAAGGAATCTTCCTCTTCTCCATCCCCAGAACTAGCTCTCATTGGAAAGGTATAAATAGGATGAACTGAAAAGGGAAAAGAAACACACACATACATTTTCTATAGAAGTAGCACAATAAATTCCTGCTACATACCAAGTGGTTGAAGAATGGGAATAAGGGCTTTCAGTTATATAGGCCTGCATTGAGATTATGAAGGAAATTTCTTACTGTGCCAATGAAAGAATTAAGCAACACAGGAATAGAATTTATTTATTTACTTTATTCGACATAGATGCCACCTGACTCCAGTTGACTCTGGGTGGCTCATAGTGTAAAAAACAAAACAATAAAAATTACATATAACAGTAGCAAAATGGCAGATCTGGTCAACAACAACAAACATATACACCCAGCAAGGGACTCCAACCACCCTAACCCAAAGCCTGGGAGAAGAACCAGGTCTTTAAGGCCCTCTGGAATGCCCTCAGGATGGGAGCCACCCAGATCTTAGGAGGAACCTTATTCCAGAGGGCAGGCACCAATGACAGAGAAAGCATGCTTCTGGGGTCCCAATAGATGGCAATCAAAGGAATCCAGAGTGTGCCAGCCTTCTCAGATCAAACTGGTTGGGCTGGTACCACAGGAGATACAGTCCCTTGGATCAGCACCTTGGATCACACCCAGAAGCAAACTGGCAACCAGTGCAGCTTGAGAAGCAGAATTGTCACATGGGCATTCTGAGGCATGCCTATCACTAGTGACACCACTGCCTTCTGGGCCAGTTGAAGCTTCCAGGTGGTCTTCAAGAACAATCCCATATAGAGCATGTTGCAGTAATCAAGCCGTGAGGAGAATGGAAGTATCGTTCTATTTTTCAGATTTTCTTGGTGTACTCCTTTTTTAATCCACTATCTACTGTACTCTTTTTGTAGCTAAGGGCTATAAAATGCTTCTATTCTCAGGACCTGAATAATAATACCATAGGGATCTGAATGCCCTAAAAGTCACTTGGTCTTCTGCAGTGCTTCCAAAGTTCTGTTTTGGGTACAATATTTTAAAGAAAGTTCCAGCAAGACACATGGGACAGGGTTCAGAAAACCCAGTGTTTCAAGCTCATGCTTTCTGATCTCCTTCCTCTCAGGAATTCTGATTTCCTTCCTCTCAAGAATCCCAGAAAATGGGATATAAATTAAATTATACTCCTAAATTTATTTTAGGAGTAATTCTTCATTCTGATTGTGGAATGCTTCGGATTGGAGACCAGTGGGAAGTACAGAGATGTAGACTAGGCTAAATCAAAAAGAAATCCAGAAAAAGGCAGTGGAAACTATTTTCACATTGATTGCCAAGACGACTACTTGGTTGTGACCAAGTAGACACCAGGAGTAGAAATCAGCTCAAAGGGATTGTTATCTTTTATGCCTGGGGTAAATTGCTAGGTTATTTATAATTGATCAGCTAAGATTTCCAACTTTAACAGTTTAAGAAAAGCTAAAACAAAAGTTTGTTTCTTTTCTTTCTCCTCTGAGTTAAATCTTCTCAATTTCTTGTCTCAGAAATAGATTTATACTTGTATATGGAAGCCATTTGTTGCATAACCACTAGAAAGATAAGGTATTAATGTTCACATAAATAAATCATATAAATCTGCAGTAGATAAGAGACTTTCCCACCACTGCTATTCTTTCTATTCTATAAAGACACAATATATTTGTAGGTTTCAGCTGTTGGGGATAAACCACAAGATGATCCTTTCATGCACCATGACATCAAAAAACATTTAGATAAATGTTTTTGGAACAGAATACTGGAGTAGACAGATTTAATGGCTTCTTTTAACCATTGCAGAGAAAGAGAAGCAGAGAGAGAAAAAGAAGGATTGCATGTACGTGACTCAGTGTTCCAGTGGGTACAGTTTTCAAGCCTGAAAGTGAAAAGAGTTGGCTAGAAATATATTCACACATTTTATTCCTCCTCAGCGTGTCTCATCATAAAAAGTACAGCTGCTGCATAATCTACTCAAATGCATTTACCTTTCATTGAGCAATCAAGCGCTTCAAACAGGCTAAAACAGTTAAAATTTACTTAAACTTTTTTTCCGTGAATTTTATTCAGGTAATCAATAGTCTTACTATTCTTACTATTTAAAAGTTTCATAAGAGAAAATATTTTAGTAGGCTTTAAAAAATTGTTATACAAACACATCCTGCTCATTGGAAATCCAATCTCAGTAAAGACCCAATGATACCCAAGCTTTTAAAATCATCCATCCATCCATCCATCCATCCATCTTGCATCAGTCTTCTGCCTTTTACCTGTCTGCCAATTTACAATGCAAGAAATATGTAGCTCTTCAAAATTTATGGCACAGAAATAAAATATTTTCCCTCAAGAAGTTGTTTTTCTACCTCACCCATTGCTCAACTAGCAATATACTGGTGTAATGGGAAGAAGGAATAACCTTGAGGGACAGGAGGAAGAGCTGCTACCAAAACAGCAGTCAGATAAATGAAACCTGAGTCTGAAGCAGGACTGTAACCTGAGAAAACATCTTAGACAAGATTTTCCCTAGTTCTCACAAAGATAAAGGAAGGGAGAGGGGAAGCACATTCAAACTTGCAAGATTCTGTTACTATAACTTTATAATAAAAGTGATATTAGCCTGTATGACTTTGGTTTCATGTCTGGTCTACCTTGAAGGGCTGACAATTGGGTATCTGCTTACTTTCTATTTACTTTTGCTTACCTTTATCTGAGCAGGAAAAAAAATATTTAGAGGAAAAAGTGGATGGTGTATAAATTTCTGCTAGTTAGAAATGTACAGGTTGAATAGGAATTACGAGGGTACAGAACTAAATGCAAAGGCTGTCAGTCCAAGTCTCAGAGTATAGAAGGCTGCTAGTAACCCAGAATAATTAGCATGCAAGTCCAGTATTTTAGTTATATTGTGAGAAACAGGATTTTCTGTTTGCTAATTTTGTACTTTGGCTATAGGCCACACTGAGTTTTCCCTGAAGCTGAAAAAGAACATACAAATACAGTATTAATCTGTCGGAAGCAGACAAAATTTTCTCTGACCTTACTGTGAAGGTGGTATCATATATCATATTAAGGGATAACTTGGTTTGTTGGTTTGGGCTTAATGTGTTTGAGCTTAATGTGATCCCAGCGAATTGTAGCCTATTTAATAAACCATGTTTAACTGAACAATGGCTTGATGATTGAGCATGAAATTTGAATTCCATCACAGTCTATTCTAAAAGCCGGAACAAAATATTTCTTGCTGCAGCCAATTGCATACACACACACACACAGACACACACCCCTTTAAGAATATGTTTATAATTGTGAAATGTGAGTAGTTATCTTAAATAGTAAGTTTTCTATGGGTGAATGGCTACTTTATTGCAATTACAGTGCATCCATTACATTTTTTTTACCTCCAATGGACTGCAGTGAACATAGCTGATAATCTCATGATTTCACAGAGGTGGGTAGAGGCACCTGTTTGCCTTTTGGAAGGAAGAGGGGGGAGATTCTACAGTGTAATCCAAGGATTTCCCTCTTCTACTTTCTTCTTCACTCTTCCCTACCAGGTTCCCACTTTCTTATATCCTTCATAAATATTTTTGCCTCTGTTTTAGGTGCTAAACCTGCTCCTGAGATATGCTTTGAGAGAGTCAATTCTGCAGGAGATCCATATGGAAACTGTGGCAAGGATTCCAAAAGTTCTTTTGCCAAGTGTGAGCCAAGGTACAAACTCTGCATCTGTCCAGAACAAAAGTAACTCAAGCAGTGCTAATAGAGAGGCTGATGATATTTCAGTGGTTTACATTATTCCTCCCTTTTCAGAGATTCAAAGTGTGGAAAAATTCAGTGTCAAGGGGGAGCAAGCCGACCTGTAATTGGTACCAATGCTGTCTCAATAGAAACAAACATCCCACTACAAGGAGGAGGCAAAATTCTGTGCCGAGGAACTCACGTTTACTTGGGGGATGACATGCCTGATCCGGGTCTTGTCTTGGCTGGGACAAAATGTGAAGATGAAAAAGTAAGGCTTAGAAATCCTTTCCCTCAACCCAGTCAATGTCTAAGGGTCCTTGCAATAATTATCTTTCAAATATGCATGCATTATACCAGTCCTTTTTTTTAGTCTCACTTTCTGTACTTTGAACTAACAGACTGGCAAACCTAACATAAAGGCTTATGCAAATAGCTCTTCTAATGTTACTCCAGAGTTTATTGATAATGCATGGAATCAATTTATTGTTTAGCCAGAAGGACTGGCAATAAATTGGTACATAAAAATGTTGAAACAAGAGTGTATAGTGCCAAAGAAATACCCATGTTTTAATGTTGCACCAGTTTCTGATAAATTATGTATTTTATAGAATATTATATGAAAAAAAGAGGAGAATGAGCCAGTGATTGGGCTATATAGTGAGCTATGTCTGCAATGCAGCAATATGCAAAGGGTTTATATTCAAAGATTTACGTCCTGAAGTTTCTTGTGGTTTGAGTTAATATTAGTGTCAATATGGTTTGCAGTATTTCCTGTGTCCAGCAGGATCAGCTAGAGTTGATGACATGAGTCAAATGTGGACTCATTGGGACTTACATCCATAACTTACATGGAATAACAAATGTTGAACATCTGAAGTTATAACAACTGTTACTTTGCACATGGATAAACTTTCCTTCTTTACTAAGTTATTTCATGAAACCTGGTTGGATGAAGACTAAAGTGAATGTCTCCCAAGTACATCCCTTTGGGATTTCTATGTAACAAAAGGGTGGACAATCAGTGGGACAGGCAGCTCAAACACCATCTTTGCTCCTTCCTCGCAGGATTACACCCTTGAAAATCCAGCAGCAAATCAACTAGTAGTAGTAGTAAACTTTATTGTCATTGTACCTCATACAACGAAATTAAATGCCATCCCCAGTGCACCTTATAAATATA